CCTAATGAGTTGGCGTTCGGTAGTCGATAAGGCCAAATGGCTGTGATTCAACATGCGAAATTGGCCAAAAAGTTGCGATGGCGCCATTGATTATAACTTTCGAATAGTTTGTCTAACGATCCATTCTCGCTCCCCTCCTTGGACTAGACAAAAGAATATGTATAGTCCTTGGCTTGAACTTTAACTTTTAATCTATCAACTGTTGCGCTGCGTCCCCCTGCCTCCTCCTTTTGGGAAAGACATGGGCGTGACCGATGCCACGCAACAGTTTTCCTTCCCCTTTCCCCTTTTCCTAGACAAAATTCGATTGATGACGCTAACGATTGATGATTCCTGTTTTTTGGGGGAATTCGTGGGGCGTAGAATTTGGAAATTCCAATCATGCCACATCCCGGTTGCCACTGTGGAATGCCATTGAACTTTTGTGGGGGAAAAAATATCTAAAGTTTTGTTTAGTTTGCAATATAAAACATCTGGCGCAGTTTGTTGATAGTTTGGTAAATATTATTGCAATATTTAGTGGGTGGAGAAAGAGCTTTCATTAAAATAAAACTAATCTTTGTGTGATTTTTGTTCTCCATTGTATTTAAGGGCATTAGCCTAATAGTCTGACCATTTCCCACTTGCTTCCATTCGGGGCCCAGCCCTTTCTAGCCCATTTCGGGCCTATTCGGACCATTAGTCACAGAACACTAATTTGTTGTCATAAATTTTATGGACCTTGCTATAAAGTTTCCTTTCTTTGGAACAAAATAGTTCCTTAATTCGTACTATATTGAAGCAAATTGCATTGAAAGTTAGTGATAGGAACTAGATATGGGTTGATAAATGTGTAACCTTATGACTTTTATAGTTTGAAATGCTATTAATCAGATTATTGGGTCATTTGAAACATTAATCTCTTCTTTCCCGAATATAAAGATAAACACAATAGTCAATTCTTAATATTTTAATAATTCTATATATTTTTAGAATTTTATTCATAAATTTTATTTTTCTTTAAACTTTAAACATTACAAAAAATATGTTCTTTAAATATCAATTTTGATGAATTATCTAGAAGCACTTAGTTTGCCACTTCATCAAGCACGAACTGGAGGCGACTCCGAAATGTTAAGAGTCGCCCAAGCGCGGCTCTTCATGTATTTGTGGCACGTTCCCATTGATTGCGTTCGAGAGCTGCCACCAAACGGGATATATGTACGAGTATATGGGACTATGCACTATAACTCACATGGCCATAAAGGCATTCAGGTCCTCCTTCCATACCTACCAACCTACCATCCTTCATCCGCTATCCGTCTCGGAAAATGTTCGTTAATCCATTAAATTTGAAATATGATTTTACGGGTGGTCGGTGTTGGGTGGGCCCGAATATCCTGGAATTTCCACTTACATGGAGATAAACGCCACGGGGCTGGGGTAATGCCGATGTGTCAAGTCTAAGTTTAAGCTTCTCCTTTAACCTCCAGCCAAACACAAATCAAAATGGTAAAGTTTCTTTTTTTGTAAGACCCTCTTTTAAATAAAAAAATTAAAGTAATATAAAGCAGTTGAGCAAATATTTTGAATAGAAGAACAATAACCTACTTGGCAGCTCTGACTCCTCTGGCATGTGCCCCTAACATTATGCAATTGTTTTTTGCCACAAAAACTCACACTTTCAAACATCAAGAGCCAACACAAAGATACAAAGATGGCGGCCTCACTCAGATGGCTCGCCACAGTGGGCCATTTCATTCGCCATCCGGGGGGGGTCGACATAATAAACTTAAACACAATAAGAGCATGAGATAGAAATAGATATAAAAGTGAGTTGGTTTCATTTTAGAACAAACTCCTAAAACCATGTCCTTGCCACAAATAGAGCTGGTGGTTTAGGCCACAAAAATGCGTTGCCGTTTGTTGTTTATAGCGTGTTGTGACTTTAATTGTCGAATGCGCTACTTTTTTTTTAGTTTAAACTCGAAATATTTGGTCAGAAAAAAAACTGGGTTTTAGGTCAGAACTGCACTTAATGGTTTTAACTGTTGGCTTTCGTGCCATTCTACACTAAAAGATTTAAATTGTAGATGGTTTAGGTGATAATTATAGTTGAAATATGGTCATAATTCTTTGGAGTTCAAATGCCTTTCTCTCTGTCTAAATTTAAATACATATTTTTTTATGCTTAATGGCACATAAAAGAAAAACATATTTATCAACATCCTTTGTCGCCTCGATGAAGACGTGACAAATGCCAACGCCTTTAATTCTGGCATTGCGTAATAATAAATGTTTTTTGATGTGCCAGCTCACTGACATTTGAGTTCCAGCATCTCTCCAGCGAGCACCCACAGTGCTCGCGAGTGGGTGGCAGTGGTTGTGGGCGGACACGTCCATTCAAGGACATGGCTGGGGCACCACTCTCAAAATGGCATCCGGGTGCTGGAGAGCTCTCCAGTACGGTGCAGCTTCTCGTCGCCACTCTCTACGGATGATGACGGGCCTCAGCCTGGGTCTGGGCCTGTGCCTGGCCCTGGCAATGGCAGAAATGTTCCATTTCACTCTGCTACCGGCCTGGCCCGACCCGGCCTCTTGCAACTTCGACACCCAAGCCCGCTTTTAGTGGGCTTTTGCTCTGCCAGCACTCGGCACCCACTTGTGTGGTATTTTGTTTTTCACTCAACCACCCAACCAAAGCTACACAGAAAATATTATTAAAAACTCTAGAGGCCTTAAATGATGGGTGAAAGATTTTGAATCTTAAAATGCCATCCTTTTTACGAGGCTTTCAAAATTCTTATTTTTTTCAAATAAATATTATTTAAGATAATATTTTCTTTTAGTGTCTGATACCCATGCCCACTTGATGTGTCTCCCGTCTGGCTGGAATGCATATATTTTCTGTTGTTTCCTTTTTTCCTTGCGGCTTTATTTGTTGGCCTCCTCGGTGTGCTGGAATTGTCATGTAAATGGGTTAAGTTCTGACATTAAATTGTTCTCGTTGAGATTTTTCATTTGTGCTCTTGCTGCTTTGACGTTTGGCCGAAAATCATTTCCCATTTTCGGCCCATGATCCTATTTCCGCCCATTAACCCCTTTGCCTTTATTGTTCATTAAAACCGAAAAAGCCGAGCAATGTCTGCAATTTGTGCCATCGGGTATAAAGAGATTTCCAGTATTTGTTGATAATTGCATTTTGTGCTTTGTCCAAGTTTTCGGCCAGGCCTTTGTACAGGGCTTTCAAAATTTATTAAAATGCCACAAGATTACATTTAAATATAACAAGATAAGACAACTTAATTGAATGCTAGAATTTAAATTGTAAATGCCAGAGGATATAAGTAGTAAAATAAAAAAAAAATGGTAAAAAATATTTGAAACATCTCCCCGACGGGGAATTGAACCCCGGTCTCCCGCGTGACAGGCGGGGATACTAACCACTATACTATCGAGGATGTTGTTTGTTAGCCACCAAACTTTCCAATTTATTTCAAGAGGCCGAAAGAGCTATAAATATCCCTCATAAATATTAGCCCTGTTTATTATTAGATTGTTGTGATGACTTGCATTTGTAGACTGGGAATTCTATGATAAGAGTTCATTAAGAATCGCTCTCCCACAAAATCTTCCATTGGTATGGAACTTATCGTATGAAAATTATTTAAAAAAAAAACTCTTTAGATAAATTATTTAACCAATTAATATATCTGTTAAACGTTTCTGTCCATAACTATAGAATTAAAGACCAATTAAAGACCATGGCAGGGTTATCATAATGATTATCAGTTAAACAGTATGAAAACGAGTTGGTTAAATTGCTTCCGTAACCCCGGCTGCACTTTAATTGCATGCCGTTTGAAGCAAAAAAAGAAACATAAAACAAAAGCCAAACAGTAGAGCAAAACGGCGCCCAACTTTGTTGAAATCATGCAAAGTGCAGCACATTTTAAATTGGCCATTGAACTTTCATATCAAAACACAGGGCGAAAATGGTTTTTAAAATGCTTAAACACGCGAGATCCCACAGCCGCGCCCTCATAATTGGAAAAGTCTGTAAGAATCGCAACTGCTACACACAGTATATGTATGTAAGGGCTATGTATACATATATATATATCCCCATAGCTTTATATATGTATATGGTAATGGGGTGAGGAACTTCCGCTGGCAGTTGATAGGCAGGCACCCACAACCCTTTCCTGGTTCTTAGTAGTTCCAGTTCCCCAGGCGGTTGTTAACAACTTTTCGCAAATTACAATAGGAAAGTGCAAAGTGCAGTCTAGGCGGTTAAGAGGTTGTTGCATTAAGCACAAGTGATTAGCCATAGCAGGCACTTCCTAGAAAATATTCCAAAACACTTTGTTTTTTATTTATAATGTCTTAATTGTCAAGTTGAAACGATTAGTTTATAACCTTTGATTTTGTATCAGATTGTTTAAAAATAGCATTGCTGGTTCCACAAACTCCAAAATTCTTATCTCTAATGTTATGTACTTCCTCTCCATTTTATCTATAAAGGCCGCAAACCTAAAACAATGTTTGTACAAACCATAAAAAGTTGAAAAAAAAAGGAAAGTAAAAGATAGTAGAGTCTAGACCTATTTTAGACATATTATTGAAGAAGAGACACCTATAGCTACAATGCAATTTCCTGCGGGGGGTACTCTCATTCATGAATTTTATCATTCACACAGTGCGTGCCATTTCCCATCACTTAATTTCGATACTTGTTTTTTCATTTTGAGATTTGGCAGTACATTGCACTCAGAAGAATAAACAAATTGAGGGCAAGTAGATAGTGAGGCCAATAAATGTTGCCGTTTGGGAAAATTCCCAATTAGTTAGCTTCAGTCAGGAATAGAGTGAGGAAGGTAACCGAAATTGGCAATATAAAGTGATATGAACGTTTTTCAAAAATGTATATTCTAGGCAGGGTAATTAATTAAGATATATTTTATTCTTAAGACCTTAAAGTGATTTAATTTAACTGATATTTTTTATTTTTCCAATTTCAGTCTCCCAATGCTACGAATAGCTCTGTGAAATGTAAGTTTAAATACAAATAAACCCAACAAGCTGATATCAAATTTTATTTATGTATTGTACATTGTATATATTTTATACCCAAGATATGATAAAAAAAAACCCATATATAGCATAAATATATACAAATTTCAGAGTTCGTTGCGTAGAAAACCGCACAGGCCCTAATCTCTGACCAGTCCGTCCCCTCCGCCCCTGCTACGCCCTCGCCCTCGCCTTCGTCTCCGTCCCGCCCCCTTCCTATCCAGCTACCAGCTTGGATATAAATCAGAAATCGTGTGAAATGAAATGAAACGAATATAAAATAAAATCAGACTCAGTGCTGCAGAGAAAAACGCTCGCCCAGCAAAGAGAGGCGAGCCAAGTTCACGGAAATAGCCACAGAAAAATAAACCTGAAATCGAAACGAATGAAATCAAAACATCAAAGTAGAGTGGCGCGACCAACACGAAAGAAATCACATAAATTGCACCTGCAACGGCTGCAGCAACATTGCAACACTGCAACATAAATATTAGTGCTGCAAAAATTTCCACAAGATGAAGCTCACATATAGCAACCTGGGGGGCAGCGGAAACGGAAATGGCAGCAAGTTGTCCCTGGGGAAATCCATCAAAATGTACCTGACAATATTCATAGCAACCACCTGCATCTACATGGTGCTGTACCAGTACCACATATCCCAGGAACCCTTTGCCGGCAGCGAAGTTGTCAAGGTTAGTTTAGAAAATTATTCTTCATAGTTTCTAACTATTGTCTTATATAATAATATTAATAATAATTTATAAATAATATTTTCTTATTAATATTATTAGGGATTTTGAAAGAGATTACTAGCTGATTTTTCATGAGAATAAGAAATATACATTATAGTTTATTGCACTCTTTTAGAATTTCTATTCTTCCTATCACTTTCTCTAACATGTTGCACCAGGTGTACCCATATAATTGTCATTTATTCTTATGGTATATTTTCAAAAGCTGGCCATAATTAAAATTACAATAAAAAGATATAGACCCCCACAAGATTGATGATCATTATATCATATCTAGAAACACTTAGACCTTGAAATACCTCAATATGATTGATATTAGTCTGTCAAAGATAATATTATTTTATCTGTTTCTGAGAAATAAACAAAAAACAGTAATTTTATTGTTAAAAAAGAATAATACCATGAGGTCAAATATTTGTTCAACTGTTGTAAACGTGAGCTTAGAGTTCTTGTGACTTAAGGTATACGTGCTTAAATAATAGTTACTTCTAATCTAATCTTTAAAAATAAATATTTAAGCACATAGTATTTGCTTTGAGGTAGGTTATAATTGCTTTGTTTAAACGTAGAAGTTTCGACAAATACCTAGAGCCTGTCTAATCCTATTACCTCTTATTTTATAAACTAACCAAATTAGACAATTTAGTAATAAACTATTGTAATGTTTTCTATGTGTGTTCTTGTTCTATTTACAACACATTTTTAATCCAAACATTGCCAATGCAGCATCAAGAGAAATCATCGTCATATATCGCTTCATATTTGTGGTCACCCATTTCCCTGTTAATGGCTAACAATTCCATTTCGACCAACTCAAATCCCTTACCAACAACAACCACAACTACAACAACAAAAACAATCACATCAACAACAGCTCCAACAACCACAACAGCAACAATATTCCAAAAATTGGGATTATCTTCCGCTTCCATTGAAACGGTTTCATTAATTGCCACCAGACCGACTTTGATATCCTCGCGATTGGATTTGAGATCGGGATTTAGATCGGGATTGGGATCGGTGGGTGGTAGCCATCATAAGACTGTAACCATTAAGACAAGCACCACACCAACAACAACAGCAACAACATCGACAAGCCCAGCCAGTGGGCTTCTGACAACAAAATTAGCCACAACCCCAGCCAAACCGAAAGCCAAACAATCCGCGGCTGCCAAGTCCACTACCGCCCACTCGGACAACGCCCATAAGACTCGACCAACATTTGTTGCCGTCTCTCAGCCCGTAAATATATTTACATTACCGTTAACCTAATCGAAAGCACTTTCCCATTAACCACCTTACACTATGAGAAAAATGGCACTACTTTAAAATCAAGAATCACTTTTTAATAGATTCTTAGATTTATAGCAATTTATAAGCAATTATTTGTAATTTTTATTCTTTTAAAATAATTTATTCGACGGTTTCGGCTTTATTTTGAGAATGTCTAACCCTTTTTCAATAATATAATATAAACATTTTTTCATATTCCTCTCCATTTTTCCAATTTTGAAGACTGTCCACTTGAGAATCGGACGGATATCGACCAAGATATAGCCTTCCCAAGGGTCACTTTTTGACGATCCTTGATTTTCCCCATTTTTGAAGGGGTTCCATCAGAAAAATTTGAAAAAAATAGGATCGAAAATTATATTTTGGGGTTTGAATGCAGAATTGTGGAGAAATAATTTAGAAATCGTTTAAGGTATGCCACTTGAGAATCGGACGGATATTGACTGAGATATAGCCTTCCCAAGGGTCACTTTTTGAGGATCCTTGATTTTTCCCATTTTTGAAGGGGGTCCATCAGAAAAATTTGAAAAAATAGGATCGAAAATTATATTTTGAGGGTTGAAAGCAGAATTGTGGAGAAATAATATAGAAATCGTTTAAGGTATTCCGCTTGAGAATCGGACGGATATTGACTGAGATATAGCCTTCCCAAGGGTCACTTTTTGACGATCCTTGATTTTCCCCATTTTTAAAGGGGGTCCATCAGAAAAATTTGAAAAAATAGGATCCAAAATTATATTCTGAGGGTTGAAAGCAGAATTGTGGAGAAATAATCTAGAAATCGTTTAAGGTATTCCACTTGAGGATCGGACGGATATCAACCGAGATATAGCTTTTGCATGGATCTCTTTTGAATATATCTTTAAATGGGGATTCATAATAAAAATAAAAGAATCATTTGGGTTTTGCCAGCAGTATTTCCCAAAGAAAGATTGTTTTCCATCATTTTCCTTTTTGTAATATAGTCTTTAAAAATGCATTTTGCTTATCTGCACATTATATCACATTCCGCCAGCATGTTTAACTTCTTTGTGTTTTTGTGTTATAAAATGTTTTGTTTGAGTGCATATTTATCATATTCTGGAAAGTACAAGCGTTTGTATGTCTGTCATTGGCTCAGGCCCCTGTTATCGCATTTCTTGAGCTGGTTTTTCAATTTTCCTAATTGCATTTTGCAGTAAAATGTTACAGATGCGTTACATGCTAGTCACTGTATTTTTTAAACCTAATAAACAAGTCAAATTCTAGTACCAAATAATAATAGGAGTAGTTTTGTATAGATTAGGCATATTTATTGTAATAATTAAGCCACTTGATATGGCAATCTTATCCCAGTCAAATTCTAGTACCAAATAATAATAGGAGTAGTTTTGTATAGATTAGGCATATTTATTGTAATAATTAAGCCACTTGATATGGCAATCTTATCCCACAAACATTAGTTCTGAATGGCTAGTCATATTTTGTAATTATTTTTCAAAAAAAAAAGATATAAAATTAAATGACAAATGTGTTCTAGATTTAGTAGACCAACTTTTGAAGCTGGCATGTTAATTATGGTCTCGTTAAAGTCCTAAATAGGAATATATTACACAAATAATACGAGTAGCACAAAGGAAGGCACAGCTCCGCACAAATTGCGCTATTTATCTAACCAACTTTTGTTGGCCGGCAGAATGTGCAAATTGGTAGCAGGCTATCTGTATCACGATTTCTGGGTTAATCACATGCATTATATTAACCAGCAGGCCTCAACGTGCCACTGCAACTGGTGCTGGAGGTCCAAACAAAAGATTCTCATTTAACATTTTGCATGAGCCTAATTTGAAAATTGCTCAAATGCAAAAAACCCAAACTCACACAAATTGAGAATCCAAAGCCAAAAAACCGCAGTAAAAATTACTATAGCATTGAAAGCAACCACAGTGGAGGTGGTTTCTGGGTGGCAAGTTAAGAAGGGTGGGGCAGTGATGGGTGTGGGTGTGGGCTGATCTAGATTCCAGATTCATGCAAAATGCAAGCCAATTGAAAAGATTCACGCGCATTTGTTGGCTGCTTTTATTTAGTAAGTGCAATTCCAATGCCCCGACGGCTCTCAATGTCAGAGGTGCAGACAAGTCAGTCAACAGTCAGTTAAAGAAGTAGATAAAAAAGGTACTAAAAATTAAATTTAAAATTGGTTTATTTGATAGAGGGCTAAGGACTCAAGGGTACACAATTATTGCAAGAGAGATAGCTTACTCGCATTACTCAAAAGTATTATTTACGATGGTTGTTGAGCAAAAATTATAATTGGATTTTATTGTATAATCTGTTATGAATTTCTTTTAAAATATCTTTAGTTAATAGGCTTAGATTATACAAGCTTTGGCTTATGGCTTATGGCTTTAGGTGCTTATATCTTTAGATATAGTACGTAAAAACTGAGTTGTTTTTTGCTTTAAATTTTTAACCATATCTTTTGATCTTCTAAAACTCATTACGTTTTATTTCAACCTATTTATTTCATATCCATGTTTCTTATACAACTTTCTTTAAATCACTTACTAGCTGGTTGTGGAATTAATTTATGATTTGTTTTGTTATCGTTTAAACATCCAAAGAAAACCTATTCATTTTGTTTTCTTAAAACTTTGATAAGAAAACTCTAAACTTATAAGAACTAGTCCACTCCTATCTATGCGTTTTTATTTCTATTTTCTATTTTTCTATTTCTAAGCATATTTGATTATATTTCCTTTAAATAAATTTGAATGCATTTTTCCTTTATCCATGGAGCCCGTGGCATGGGGGGTGGTTGGGCGTTTGTGTGTCAACAATGGACAATTTGCAAAGTGAGTGCGCCAGTTTATTTATTTTCAACGTCAGTCGTTCAATGGGCCACTAGTACAAAGGCATAACATATTTATAGTATAGAAGAATGGGTGCAGCATGTGATTAGGTGCACTTACAAAAATTAAAGGATATTTATATGCCAAAAAATAGAGTAACTCCACAACGTAGAAAAAATATGTATAGTCTCTGGTAAGGGAAGGTCTGTATTTGTTAAAATAACTTATTACTTATTTTTTTGAGTGACTTTGACAAATGAAACGCGACCCATATTGCTGGGCCAGAGCCTAGACACACTGACTTGCGGCTGTGGGCGGATGTGGTTTGCTCGCCTAGTCAAGTCATTGGGTTGTAAATTAATTTGCATAATTGCTCATAAAAAGGAGCTCATGCTCACGCCGCATTACGCACCACCCCACACGGGCGCCTAACGAGCCACTCGGTCGCCAAACCAACCACCACCCTCCTCCCTATCACGCCATTAGCCACCCGTTAACCGGTACAAGTGCAATGCACATACAAACACGTATTCGCCCTGTGGTACACACTGTATTAGAAAAACCATACTGAAATGAACTCAACTCTGACCCGCAGCCGCCCCTGTATATAATCACGCCCACCTACCGACGACCCGAGCAGATGGCAGAGCTCACCCGGCTGGGCTACACGCTGAAGCACGTGGCGAATCTCCTCTGGCTGGTCATCGAGGACGCCAACAAAACGAACCCCCTGGTGGCGCACACCCTTGACCGGATTGGAGTGCCCTACGAGTACATGGTGGGTGAGTATCTGCACCGGCACCACTACCGGCATTTGTGTCATGTTCGGGACACATTCAAGTGATATTTACGAGTTATTCCAACAAAAAAATACTCACCTCCAACAGCTCCCATGCCGGAAAAGTACAAGCAGACGAAACGGGCGAAGCCGCGAGGTGTCTCCAATCGGAATAAGGGCCTCCAGTATCTCCGGCAGCATGCCACCGAGGGTGTGCTCTACTTCGCCGACGACGACAACACCTACGACATTAGCATATTCGAACAGGTAGGACATACTTAACAGGTACACACCGTACATGAGTAATGGTGATTAAGGGTCAATAAGGCGCCCACCATTTGTATCAATTAGAGTGCCATTAGTCGGGCTCTCTAAATTAAAGATACTTCCCCCTGAAAGTTATACAACTTTAAAGCCAAGAACTCAAACATGATCTATCTTCCTAGATGCGCTATATCAACAAGGTGGCCATGTGGCCAGTGGGCTTGGTTACCAAAACTGGCGTTAGTAGCCCCATAATTCAGGCCGGGAAGCTAGTTGGCTTTTACGATGGCTGGATCGGAGGACGCAAATATCCTGTGGACATGGCAGGATTCGCGGTTAGCGTTAAGTTCTTGAAGGAACGACCCAAGGCAGAGATGCCCTTCAAGCCAGGTTACGAGGAGGACGGATTTTTGCGGAGCCTGGCGCCGCTGGCCAACTCCGACATTGAGCTGCTGGCCGATGAGTGTCGAGATGTAAGTGATATATATACAAATAATTATCAGATAATATCCAATATTTGAATCCCCAGATCCTCACGTGGCATACGCAGACAAAGAAAAATGCACCAGCGCAGGCGCTTAATAGAACGCGATACCAGAATACGAACCTTGAGTTTATAGACAAGCTGCTGGTGCGCCCGTAGGAGTATTTACTGTAGTTAGCTAGGCTAGGTTAGGCTTAGCTAGGAGCTTACTTGGTGGGGAGGGCCAGGGCGTCTGTCGGTGCCTCTGGCGGGTTGTACAGGTATAACCTGGAGCGCATTCTTGATCAGATCAGCCGGCGGTGTATATTTGATGGTAAAATCTAAAGAATAATTGTTAGGCTCTAAGCGCACAAACCTCTATGATAATTGATACTTGATAATTGATAATGCACCGTAGACTTTGTTTGACCCCAAGAACGGCGTTATCGTAACCTTTACATTCGTAATTCATACCTTAAGCAACGTATTGTATCATATCGCAACGTCCTCGACTTGTTTGTAAATATTATTATTCGCAATGCTTGCATTAAGTTTAGTTATAAGTTATAGCTTGGGCTTTAAGTTAAGGTTGAACCAGATTAGTGGATGGATTTCCCAGCCAGCAACGAATCGGATCGGATGTTCCTAGACCAAAGAAATAACCAAATGAATCTATCCCCAGGGAAATTGCAATTACCCGGTTGAGGTCAAGGCCACAACAATCAATTAGGGCAAGGTGTCGGAGAATATAAAAAACCAAAGTTATTTTGCCAAGTACTCCGGGCGAAAGCTCTTCAATAATTCATGACGACATATGGATTTTCGAGGCAAAGAGATAAATGTAGCACGGATGAACACCATGCCCCACCGAATCGCGTGCCACACCAGACCGGCACGCCAACTGGTAGGACACGGTTGTAAGCCTTGTAATAGGACTGAATGGCTCAGAAATTTCGGCAAGTTCGGCAATAATCAATTCCATTCCCAGGACGCTAAACGATCCTTGATTGAACGGAAAACTATCTGAAGGCCTGCGATTTTTTGCGTATTATTTCCGTAAACGGGTTTCCACGCAACTATTTTTTCGTCACTAGGTACACTCATAAGTTACGCTAACACTAAGTTAAGTTTGTGAAAAAGTTGGATATATATTCAAGTTATGAACTGCACTGAAATCGCCTACATGTAAATAATAATCACGGAATATATTGTAACCAAAACTTTTACACGTCCCGCAAAAAAATGAAAAATTTGCGAATCGCAAGTGGAGAGGAGGAGAAGTGAAAATTATGACAAATGGTATTACGAAATTTATACAATTTATACAATTGAATATATTATATATATAAAGAAATACGAGTAAGCCGCAAAGCAATTAGTTAGGTACTTACAAAATCTTACAAGAATAAACAAAAAACAAATATTGAATCTTTAAAAGAAATCAACATACAATTTTTCAAAGGATATCTCAAATGTTTCACAGAATACTAACGATAATGAAAGATATGTCTAAAGCCTATTCTCTTATTCAAATAAATTACAACATACAATGTTTAAACCTGGCAGGACTAAAGCAAGGAACTTCAATCATTTTGTAAGCAAAAAACCAAAATACAAATAACTTTCAATAAAAAAGATAAACTTTTCTTAACAATTTTCAAAAAATTATATCTTTGTCTTTTCACTTTCCAAAACCCTTAAAAAAAGACTCTGATTAAGTGTTTGACATTAGAGTTTATATTTAAAATTAACAAAGTATTTTGAAAATATTTTAGTAGAGTGCGGCTTGGGGTTATATCGATGCATGTTGGTGATCTAGAAACAATCGAATCAAATATATCATCTAGTGGCTTCAGGCGGCAGCATCAATCAACTGGTTTAGAGTCCTGCAGTCGCTCGACTCGTAAAGAGAGGCCTTATCCTGGCAGATTTATGGAAGGTACTGCTACGAATTAAGTACTGGAGTAACTTTACAAAAATCTGCCCTAGCTGGTTCGCATTCGATCAGATACTTTGAATATTTTACGTGTATTTACCATCGCTGTTTAGATTCCATCTTGTCTTGATTTTCAATCACTAATATATCTTTTTACAGCAACAGTAGAATTCTACTATGTACGAGTAGTGCTCGTGCTCTATTTTATTTGAATCTGGTGCAGAATCTAGGAAGCTTACATTTCATGGCACTATTCTATGAGTACTCTAACAACTTGGTCTCTGGTTAAATATCTATTACAAGTAAAGTTTAAAATTTGATTTGGTTTGATAATTGGCTTAAAGTATTTGCTTTGGAGGCCTGTCTTAATTATTTCAGAGAAAAGTGTATTCGATTCTAAAAAGCGTTTGGGAATATTTGCCTACATTTGTTTGTACTACTTTTGAAACTTACTTGGATTGGGTTGCGTTGAGAATAGAATAGAAACCGTCTATATTTTTCAGTTTGTATTCTTTGGTGCATTGGTCATTCGCCAAGAAAGTCGATTTATATCATAGATCAAGAGACAACATAACAAGCTTACATGCTTTAAGGATTTTTTGAGGAATGCCACAATTGGATTAAGTACCAAATATTAAAAAAAAATTAGTTAGTTTAAGACTTTGAGAGGTATTTTTGATCTGAAATCAAACAGGGCCTAGCCAATCTAACCGGAAATCCTTTTAACCAAATCAAATATTATCAGACCTGATCTGTTTAAGGAAAAGCAATAAAAAAAAAAGATCATTATAGTTATATCTCTTGGGCCAGAGTATGAATCGTTCTAACTTTAGCAAAGGATGTCCTTTCATGGATCAAAGGACACACAATCATTTAACGGCTCCTGCATTCTACTGTGTGGTACTAAAAAGATAACTCAACATCGATGGCTGCACGTGAAAGCTTATAGTTGCCTCTTCCCACTTGGTATGAATCAGACGCTGCAACGGCGTGTTGAGCGTTGACTCCTCCTTGGCGACCACATCGTTACCACCGCTAGCGCCACTAGCAGCACCACCAACACCGCCGCTAGCGCCACCCACACCGCCGCCGGCAGCAGCACCTCCACCGGATCCGGTTGCTGGCGCCACGCCAACCACCAAGGTCTCCGACTCCTTGGCCGGCTTCCCGGACATCGAGGTACTCTCCGGCGTGATTGGTTGCCGCTCCAACATGACCAATGCCTGCTCGTTGTACGTTCGATTATCGATGGTCATCTGGATCTGGTGTCCGGAGCAGCTATAGTAATTAACATCGAATCTCGACTCGGCATGATAGTTTCGCAGCAGATCCGGATTCTTATTAAAAATCACTCCATAGTGTCCCGTACAGCTCGTTATCCAAATGGGATAGTTGGGCGTCTTCAGGCGAGAGCCTGGCTGGCGAGATTGATTAACTGCAGCCTGGATGGGGAATAGATACAAAAAAGAAAGCAGGAGGAAGTTATAGCCTTCACTTACACTGGCTGACTCGATATCCCAGAGCAGAAGACCGATCATGCAGCGCTTGAGGACTCCATACTGTGGCACTGCCTGGAAAGACAAGGAAAAGGCTCAATGCCAATCATGAAGGTCTTAAAGGAATCAGATCTTAAAGGACACCCCTCATTAAAGATACACACATAACTACTTTCATCGCCCACATTGATGACCCCATTATGGATGTAGGGCGTGGCACGGCCCGTCAGCAGCAGGGTTACAATCATCAGGGAGCCCTCCTCGTGGTTACTGGAAGTCAGGGGTGTGCCTTTCGAGGAGTCCAGATCCGTGCGTACTCTGGAAAGCATTTGAAAGTATTTGTTGCCAAAAAATAGATAATTTTTATGGATTACAGATTGTCTTGAAAGGACTACCGATTGGGGGGTTATACAATTGAATTAAATCTTACTTTCCCATGGATCGCGTTAGGACGGCGCTATAAAGAAACAGCAGAGTGCCCGGCGTCTCCTCTTCTGTAAACTTTTAAAAGGGTTAAAGGCAAAACTTTTCGATTAAATCGATCTAAAAAATGTATATATTTCTGCAATCTTTCTTACGTATTTGAAATTCCTCTTTAAAAAGTACTCCAACTCCTCGTTGGGTGACAGGTTAAAGACATAAAGCTGCAAAGAATTACGAGTTATGGAAAAAAATGACATTGAAGGAAAATTCAAAAGAAAGATATTTTTTAAAAGAAGGTCTTGAAAATAAAATATATGGACTGTGTGTGGTATTTAAAAAATGAATACTAACCTTCTCAGTGACTGAATCATGGAAATAACAGGCACTATGGTCCACGAAAGTCTCGTCCTCCGACGGCAACACAATGGTGACCTTGCCCTTGTCGGAAATGGTGCGCAGGATCTCCAGAAGTGCGCAGAACAGAGCCTCCCGCTGCATTTCAGCTGTGGCCAGAAGAGGGCTACAGAAACGGAAGCACACAATTACACTGATGCCAAACCGGAAATGGCAACGGAAACAGATACGCACTCGGTCATCGATGCGGCGCGACTGGTCTTCCGGGCAAAGAGCAAATACTTGAGAACGAATCCCTGGACAACGGATAACAGGCCGCGGGTGGCGTTCCGGGGTGAACGTAGCCCGTAGGCCAGTTCCTCCTTGGGCGCTCCAAAGACAAACGATGTCTGCAGCCATTCGGCGCGCATGGGAATGGCCGAGGTACCGAACACCAGATTCCGTAAATCCTTAGAGGGGACAAAAAATGGGAGACCTTGGGATCAGATCGCGCCTAGCGGCGAGTGAATCTAATTACCGTGGCCAATTCGGCGGTTATGGGCGTGCCGCCCTGCGTGATGAAGTCTTTGTTCATTTCTCTAATTGGGTACTAAGTTCCGTTTCCGTTCGAGACCTTTGCTCCACTCTGCGACTCGTTGGCGAATGATTTCTCGGCGTGCACGGTTCTAAATTCCGACTCGGGGCCAGACCTGGGATTGATTTGGTTTGAAGGGAATGTAATAGGATGGAAATGGTTGGAATGGGTGTGAAGGGTCTGAGGTGAAGGCAGACAGCCGCCATTTCAGTCAGCCAGCTCGGAGGCATTTCACACTTCAGCATGGATTTTTAATTTCATATTTAGCCGTGGGCGCACAGGGCGTATGCGCAACTAAACAGAAGCTAGTAAGGTGAACTCACGACAACAACAAACAGGTACCATGGTCGAAAATGGCTATAAAATGGTTTCAAATAAATACTTATTTTTAAACAAACATTTTATAACAAAAATGAATCGTTTTTATTGAGTTTTGGTGGTTAAACCAAGCACCCATTTGGAGTAAACCTATCATATGCTGGGATATAGGACTAAGATAAGTATATTATTCCACTGTGCTGGGCCTCAGGCTTTGGCTGAGAGGGTCGTCGCTGTCTGTCAGTCAACGAAAGTAACTTTAAATGAAATTGAATTGAATTTAGTTCTGTGTGCGGCACACGAAACTCGATGTATGTGGCACAAGAAGTGAAAGTGTTACGAGACGGATACCCCCAAAGATTGGAGTTGGGCCAGGAAGTGACTCTTGGAACATATACATCATATATTGCCATACACACATATATATATATTCTGCAGGAGTCTGGCATGTTGCAGCCTGTCAGACGCTCCACACAACCGGAAATATGTAGTTGACGCCCATTTGTGCCTATTTGGAGGCAGTAACAGCTGTAGGAACACGGTTTGGCTGCTTGTGTATGTGTAATACTGGGTGTTAATATGGCCAATGATCCACCCGGAAAGGCATTCCTTTCCAATGGCCACCGCAATACTCAGGCTCAGGGCATTTTAAATTTAGACAGCACTCGTGTTTCACTCTCTCAGTCGATTGATTTGTTGAATTTTTGGGAGGGACCCAAATGGAAGTGAAAGTGGCCCAATAACTGACTGATGATGGGCTGTCTGGCTGGCTCTAACCTTGGGCAAGTCACCAGCAATTTTATTAAAGTCCCAGACATGGCAGGCGCATACCTGAACCCAACAGTCGGGAATACCGCATTCTACATCGAGTCCCGGCATGACAGAAGTGATTTAACTTGGCCTACAACGTGCTGAAAGGTCTTCTGGCATTTGATTTTCTACAAGAAACTTCTGATTCCATATTTATACACATTTATACAATTTTATTAAATTACATACACCATAATGGATAAAGCCTCATAAAAATATAAATACCACTTTCCTAAATACTCCGACTAGTTAAAATCGCTTACAAAGTACAAATATTATATCTACTAGCCCACAAAAAATGTTCTAAAAACTTATAATTTGGATTTTAAAGCAAAATTTTGATCGTCTGGCTCACGAACCGTGAACGTCGTCCATTGGCGGGGCCAGCATCTCCCGCATTACCGTCCTCGCTGATGCCGGAGCCCTTCCAACCAGATACAGTAGATTGAAATACCAGTCGACCAGTTGCAATCTAAAGGCCGTCAAAAACAGGCAATACTCAAAATAGACGCGCCGACCCAACCAACGGACGTACTGCAGCGTCGATTTATTACCATTCTGCCTGTAGAGGCACTTCTGGGCATAACGGGCCATCACACGAGGTCGGTCCACCACGTCACTATGCTGACGACCTATCCCACGCACGGTATTGAGGTTGCGGACCTGGCGAGAGTATGGTGTTAGAACCAAGGTGGTATTAGGACAAACCACAACTTACTACAAATAGCATGCTTCTCGGCATTTCCTTCAAAGTCCCCATAATGAGTTCAAAATTTTTCCGAGCCACTTCCTTCATATGTCTAATGTCCTCTTCCGATAGTTTACTTCGAACGCCGCCACCTCGAGCCCGAATCGGTTGCTGGAAGAGAACCTCGGCGAAGCGCATGTAGTCGCCGATTCCAATTTTTTTGGCTGAGGCCTGCATTTTGGCCTCGTCTCGCAGCACGGTGGCCTCCCAGAACTCACAGAGCGGTCCACGAACATTTTCCTGCAGCTCCTCATAAAGGCCATGGTCCAGTAGGATAATTTCCGCACTCCCGTTCTTTACACTTCGTCGGACGAAAACTTAAGAATAGATATTAGAAGATACATAGCGAGTTAGAAGCTGATAACCCACTGTTTCCCGGATGCGGATCGGCGTGAACGAATCCTGTGTAGAATATTTGTTCGGCAAAGGCATTGAATAGCTTCACATCCACATCCTTTAGATTAAGTTTCCAACTTTCTATGGTCTTCATGTCCGTCACTTTGCATCCGTCCATCCACTCCAAGGTAAGCACGCGCTGAAATAGACCAATATATATATTTTGGTTGTTATATAGCATTGGGATTAAACGTACCGTCTTGGTATGTGACCAATGAACTTTGGGCACATAAACATATTTCAGTTTTTTCATATCGGAGGCACAGCGCTCTGCATTCCGGCCCTCCTGCTCAAAGTTCAGCTCTTGCACCAAATTCTTTTTCAAGTCATTGAGTATCCATCCAAAGTTGTAATTTTTAAAGACGAATTCCACAATGTCCTGAAGAAAGATGATGGTGCCCAGGTCGCTGATGAAGCGCTTTTGCAAGTCGTTGTATTGCACCTTTACGGCTACTTGCTCGCCTCCAGGCAGCTTTGCTTTAAAAACCTGGGCCAAACTGGCAGCGGCAACCGGCTTGTAGTCAAACTCCTCATAGATGTTTTCGGGCAGCTGGCCGAATTCCGAGAGGAAGACCTTCTGAACGTCCTTTTGTGATGTCGGCAGGCACTTGTCCTGCAGCCGCGATAGCGTTTTTGTGTACTCATCCGGCAGGATGTGGTTAATGGCCGCAAATCCCTGGCCAACCTTGATGTACAGGCCACCGTTTAGCAGGCACGTCTCCAGCAATCTTTCGGCACTCTTTTGATGGATAGCCTTCAGCTTGGTGTCGTAGTCCTCGTCGGTGTCTTTTAGCTTCATGTAGTCCACGGCTATAAGGGCGGCTGTTTTCAAGGAGCGTACAAAGCGAACCGAGGCGCCACAATAGGTGAAGTCATTGGCGATTCCATCGTAGGCGATGGCACCGGACCCCACTGCCAGGAGAGTTAGTCGAACCGGTGAGAGCGAAGCCTTTCGGGCGGACGTATCCCGTTGTTTGTGTAGGTTCCGCCAATTCCAGTTCCTCCTACCTCCTCCTGCGCACAACAGCTGGCGCACTCGCTAGATAAAAGATCGCAGTTGGTCGCAGGGTTACACTGTGTCAAAGGTCATCCTAATAGCGCCCGCTTACCTGGATTTGCTGCATTTTTCCACCACCCGCTCATCAATACTCGCGAACTCCACATATTCTATCAGCTGTTGGCCACTTGTGGCGCAGCATCAGCTGATTCGATGCGATCTGGTCACATTATTCTGCGTTAATGTGCGACCGCTTCGAAAAATTTGCTCGAAAATTTTGAACGGGGATTCACAATTCGGAGTCCCCATCTCGATCTTGTCGATCTTTTCGTTCAGAAGAATATTTCTGCATCACCAACCAATACACAAAATATACAAGGTATGTACCTGTGAATTTATAATTGGAACTGCTGATTCATCATGAGTATTGTTTCTTTTTGTGAATTTTCTTTTAAAAAAAAATCTAAAAAGTCTTAACAAAAGTGTTTTTTAAAAAAGCTGCTACATTTTTAGTTTATAAAGAATCTGATTTAATTTAAACTCACAAATCTGCATTATTAGAATCAGTGACCGGGACACCAACTCCACTTGAGATCGATATGTCGGGCACCATTCTTGAAAATCTTAGTGGATTGAAGCTCTCCATATTGGTGGCTAGTCTGCTGCTTTGCCAAGTTTTCTGCTTCCTGCTGGGTTGGCTGTACGTCCCCACCCCTGCCGGACATGTGACCGTACTGGGATCTCTGTGCCGCGAGGACCACACCCGCCAGAATGACACCAGCTTCATGCTCTACTCCCGCGGAGCCGGCGCCTGCATTCCTGTCAGTCGTGAGGAGATGGAGCGGGACCCCATGAAGATGGCCAACGAACTGGTGCACGTTTTCCAAATGCCGTTGCCCCGGGACTTGAGGGACCTGGAGTATTCTCGATGGCAGCAGAATCTCATCGGTGTTCTTCAAGTGGAGATCGGGCGCGATTCCACGTGGGATCTGCACGAACTACACAAGGAACTGCAGCTAACCATCGACATGAGACTGGCGTACCGCAATAAGGGAGATCCCGATCAGGCTTGGAAACTCTACGCCCATGGAGTAGAGCAGCGTTATCTGGACTGCGATGTCGCATACGTTGGATCCACGGAGACGCTCTATTCCTGCGACATGATTCCCCTATTCGAACTGGGCGATCTGCACCACAGCTTCTATCTACTCAATCTGCGCTTCCCATTGGATACACCTCGGCAGATGAATTTGCAATTCGGACACACCCACGATCTGACCCTAACGGCGATCCATCAGAACGGCGGCTTCACACAAATCTGGCTGATGCTTAAGACAGTGCTCTTCCCCTTCGTGGTGGGAATAATGATTTGGTTCTGGCGCCGAGTGCATTTGCTTCAGCGTGCGCCTGCTCTTCTGGAGTACATGCTGATCTACCTGGGAGGCGCTTTGACATTCCTTAACTTGCCACTGGAGTACCTGTCGCTGGCCGTGGAGATGCCATACATGCTACTTTTGAGCGATATCCGTCAGGGAATCTTTTATGCTATGCTGCTCTCCTTCTGGCTGGTTTTCGCCGGAGAGCATATGCTCATCCAGGACGCACCCAATAAATCTACCATCCGGTCTCGCTATTGGAAACACCTTTCGGCCGTTGTTGTGGGCTGTATTTCCCTGTTCGTCTTTGACATCTGCGAAAGGGGCGTACAGTTGCGCAATCCCTTCTACTCCATTTGGACTACGCCGCTTGGTGCCAAAGTAGCCATGACATTCATTGCCCTAGCCGGAGTTTTAGCAGCAATTTACTTCCTCTTCCTTTGCTACATGATCTGGAAGGCGTTTAGGAATATTGGCGACATACGACGTCTGCACTATGAGGGTAAGAATGTAGCAACTGCTGGGTCTTCGAATATTAATGATTAAATTCTTGTTGAAGGCCTCATCTATCGCTTCAAATTCTTGATGCTGGCCACTTTGTTGTGCGCCGCTCTGACTGTTGCCGGATTTATAATGGGACAAATGGCCGAAGGCCAGTGGCAGTGGAACGACAACGTCGAAATCCAGCTGACTTCGGCTTTTCTGACTGGCGTCTACGGCATGTGGAACATCTACATCTTTGCACTGCTCATCCTGTACGCCCCCAGTCACAAGCAATGGCCAACAATGAACCACAGCGACGAGACCACGCAGTACAATGAGAATATTATTGCCTATGCTGCCAGCAAGGAAATTGATGAGAAAAAATAAACAGTATTTTTTATTCAATCATATAACTCATTAAAGAAATTATTACCTTTTGTATTTACATATATGTATGTATATTGAGATTATCAATTATTTAGAAATTGTTTTGTATTACAACCAAATTATTTGTATTACTAACAAATCTTAACTTATCTTTTAAATGTAATAAACTTTTTTGAATAATTGAAATTTTGTATTGATAAATTTAAAAAAAAAATAAAACAATCGTTATTTAATTAAATCAGCAAAAAGTAGAAAAACTCAATTTTCAAAACATCGTGGCTAGAGTTGCCGCCCTTTTTTCTGTTATCGATAACTCCGTTCTGTATACGAACACCGCTTTGTTTACGACCAATAAAAATAGCCATATTCACGAAAAATAGCTAGGTACGCAGCACCATTTGTTTGTTGCCATCTTGTTGATTCTACCTTGCGGCATCGGCGCCTTTGAAGTTTTTTATTCCCTGGTGTTGAAAATTGTTTACATTGCGTCTATCTGCGACAAGGAACTTGCGCCGGGCAGTGAACTCCACTTGAGATCGAGATGTCGGGCACCATACTTGAAAACCTTAGCGGACGGAAGCTCTCCATATTGGTGGCCAGTCTGCTGCTTTGCCAAGTTTTCTGCTTCCTGCTGGGTGGTCTTTACGCCCCGCTCCCCGCCGGACATGTGACCGTACTGGGATCTCTGTGCCGCGAGGACCACACCCGCCAGAATGACACCAGCTTCATGCTCTACTCCCGCGGAGCCGGCGCCTGCATTCCTGTCAGTCGTGAGGAGATGGAGCGGGACCCCATGAAGATGGCCAACGAACTGGTGCACGTTTTCCAAATGCCGTTGCCCCGGGACTTGAGGGACCTCGAGTATTCTCGATGGCAGCAGAATCTCATCGGTGTTCTTCAAGTGGAGTTCGGATACGATTCCTCATCGGAACTGCGCGAACCACCCAAGGAACTGCAGCTAACCATCGATATGAGACTGGCCTACCGCAATAAGGGAGATCCCGATCAGGCTTGGAAACTCTACGCCCATGGAGTAGAGCAGCGTTATCTGGACTGCGAAGCCGCACACGTTGGATCCACGGAGACGCTCTATTCGTGTGACATGATTCCCCTCTTCGAACTGGGCGCTCTGCACCACAGCTTCTATCTACTCAATCTGCGCTTCCCATTGGATACACCTCGGCAGATGAATTTGCAATTCGGACACATCCACGATCTGACCCTGACGGCGATCCATCAGAACGGCGGCTTCACACAAATCTGGATGATGCTGAAGACCGTGCTCTTCCCCTTTGTGGTGGGAATTATGATTTGGTTCTGGCGTCGAGTGCATTTGCTGCAGCGAGCGCCCGCTCTGCTGGAGTATATGCTGATCTACCTGGGAGGCGCTTTGACATTCCTTAACTTGCCGCTGGAGTACCTGTCGCTGGCCGTGGAGATGCCATACATGCTTCTTCTCAGCGATATCCGTCAGGGAATCTTTTATGCTATGCTGCTCTCCTTCTGGCTGGTATTCGCCGGAGAACATATGCTCATCCAGGACGCACCCAATAAATCTACCATCCGGTCGCGCTATTGGAAACACCTTTCGGCCGTTGTTGTGGGCTGTATTTCCCTGTTCGTCTTTGACATCTGCGAAAGGGGCGTACAGTTGCGCAATCCCTTCTACTCCATTTGGACTACGCCGCTGGGTGCCAAAATAGCCATGTCGTTCATAGTTCTAGCTGGAGTTTCAGCAGCCATTTACTTCCTCTTCCTTTGCTACATGATCTGGAAGGTGTTCAGGAATATTGGCGACAAACGCACCTCGCTTCCGTCCATGTCCCAGGCACGACGTCTGCACTATGAGGGTAAGAATTTATCATCCTGTGTATCTTCGAATTTTAATATTTTTAAATTCTTGTTACAGGCCTCATCTATCGCTTCAAATTCTTGATGCTGGCCACTTTGTTGTGCGCCGCTCTTACTGTTGCCGGATTTATAATGGGACAAATGGCCGAAGGCCAGTGGCAGTGGAACGACAACGTCGAAATCCAGCTGACTTCGGCATTTTTGACTGGCGTCTACGGCATGTGGAACATCTACATCTTTGCCCTGCTCATCCTGTACGCCCCCAGTCACAAGCAATGGCCAACCATGCATCACAGCGACGAGACCACACAGTCCAATGAGAACATTGTGGCCTCGGCTGCCAGCGAGGAGATTGAGTTTAGCCACCTGCCGTCCGACTCCAATCCCAGCGAGATCTCCTCACTCACCTCGTTCACCCGCAAGGTGGCCTTCGATTAAATGATGGAATAAGCCAGCGCCTTGATTTCGATTTCGAACAGGTTGTGTGCCAAATTGAGAGCACGATTCTGGCCTGCAGCCGAACTCTCCGTGTGTGTGCTCAATATATATTATGGGTAGACTTAGTCAGTAGCATTTCTTGCCTAGTTTTGCATTCTCTGCATTCGACAACATGATCAGCATTATAAATTATCATTAGTGGATAGATTGTAGCTTCTCTCTCAGCATGCTCAAAGTGTTTACGATTTTATCAACTGTATTTTTAACAAAGACCTCGGCAGTATTATCTATTGAAGTCCAATTTCTTAGCTTGTAAGTTTTTGTATTTATTATATAACATTTTACACATCTGACAGAATCGTAGGAGCAGAAAGTAATCCTTGTCTTTGAAACTTTTTAGTTAAAAAGACAAAATTGTCCATAGATTACGGTGTGTCCTTAGGATTTGTATTTATTTTTGCTTCATAAACCTATCCATCACGATTTTTTAACCAAAACGTAGAGCAATTTCTCACTCCAGTAGCAATGCATCGAATAAAAAGCAATATTGAAAATGCAGACTTGATTTATTTGGTTAAATGCCGGAAACGTCTATTTAGAAGGAATGCAAGTGGTTGGGGGTGCCTACCAAATAATCCTCTGGGGTGAGCGATAGTTTGGCCAGTAAAACTCCTTGGTAAAGTACACATAGAAGGTGGCCACGTTAAGCAGCAGATGGACTCCAAGTTCCATCCACTCGGCGAAGCCCTTCCTCGTGTGTCGCGTATTAAGCCGAAATAGGATATATGGAACCAGGAAATAGCGTAGTTCCAGGAGTCGTTGAAAGCATAGCACCAATAACAGGCTAATCGGGAACATGAGCTTGAAGCTATCCGGCATGTGTTGCATTCCGCACAGGAGAACACAAATGGAAAACAGATACACCGGCGCCATGGCATACCGGAACCACCAGAACCGACCGTAGAGACGACTCCACACATAGAAGGTATAGTGGCGATTATCTGCCAGCAGATATGGATGCACTTCGGTGTTGAGATGCACCACCAATAGAATCAGCATAAGAGCCAATAAGGAGAGAGCTCGATTCCGGCGTATAAGCTCTGCTGCCGGACGCAATTGTCGCAGCGTATTTGAGATGCCGAAGCTCGCAGCAAACAGCGCGAAATAAAACAGCTGCGGCAGGTGGAGAGAGGCTTCATGGGCACTCTTATCGCCCACCACAATAGAGCCATTGATGGCTAGGAACCCAATAAAAGGTAGGATTATGGAAGCGTAAAAACAGCACTTGGCCAGTATGTTTAGGATGCAATTGCACAGCAATTGGGGGCTGGTGAAAAGATTCGCCCACAACTGAAAAAGAAGAAAGCTAATTGGAGTTACAATAAATAGGTATTGAAACTAACCTCTGTTCCCAGCAATCGAACCTTGCTCTTGGCCAAAGATCGAGATCGAGCACATTGCTGCACGATGGTGTCCAGCACAGTCATCCCTGTGGCCATACAAACCCACACAATATTCGTTTGACGCATGAGAACACTCGCAGCCCCGAACACTGCCGCTGGCAGATGGGACTCCTGCAGCCAGTAATTGTAAAACAGAAGCACCATGGTCAGGGACAAGGTGTCCGTGTAGTACAGATGGCTAAAGAAGTACAAAGGCGGCAACACCGACATAGTTATTGCCTCATGGGCTGCATAAGAATTGCCACCTGAACCAGCCAACGTACGCCGCCGGATCTTGTAGAGCAGAAGAATGTTGACCCCCGCACCGGCTAAGCTAAGTAATCGCAGGCCCGTTACTGAGCACAGATTAAAAGGACTCAGTACGAGGGCTAGTAGATACAGGCCCGGAAAAGTCGTTATTTTAGGGTCCCACTGAAAGAAGTAGGCTAACGATATAACAGATGTCACATCCAAAGCAGTATCTTAACTAACCACGTCGAATTGCTGACGACAGAAGGCCAGGCCCTGGGGAATGTGGAACTCCTCGTCGATCACATACTCCGAAGTTCCATTCACGCGCAGGAACAACGGAAGGGAGTAAAGGACGAAGCCCACAGGCAGCACCAACTTCCAGGATCCGTTCATGGCATGGACCAGTGCTGTCAATACCAAAGCTTAAATTCCAAACCAGCAGTGTTTGTTTATTTTTGGACCCAACCAGCCGGCATAGAGATGGGTCTGTTTCGATAGAATTATCGATACTTCATTTATAAATATATCGTTGACCGTTATTATACTATCGATCTTTAAAAAATGGTATAAATTTGAATTTAAATAAATTCAAGAGTGTTCTTTTAGAAACCATTTTTTAAACCACCATAACTTTTAAAATAATTAAACTGATTTTTATATTTTTTATTTATCATAAGTATTTGAATATACATTTTGAACTTTAACATAGAGTAAATACAAACAGAATGTTTAACAAGGAGTACGACTTAATGACTACCAAAAAAATCCAGGCCCACCAGCGACTGGAAGTACTATTTACTCGTAATATATGCACTAAGTAAAACGTGTGATTAAAACGGACTGCTTTGATTTATTTGTGTGATGTGGGTGGTACATATGTGGCTTGGATGATGTGTGGCTGAAGCTTTCGGCTCGGTCGGCAAATGTCCGGGTCACAGGGAAAACTCCACCTTCCGCTGTCGTTGCTACTTGTTCACACTCCGGTAGATCATCGGAGCGGATCGATCGTTAGTCTTTGTGTGGCGCAACTTTACCGTGGCGAACTGGGAGGCTCTGCAAAGATCAAGGACTCGTCCAGTGGATGAGGAGTTCGCCCACTTTTCAAATGTGGCCTATCTACTTACGGGTGGTGGCATTGCAACCTAATACGGGGAAAGGTGGGGATACCTGGGCTACACGGACTGGCTACTGGTCAGTAATCTATGGAGTAGTTGCGGTATATGCCGCGTCGGCTAAAAAAGCAAATTACACTTGCATTATACAGACTAACTTCAAATCAGGCAATAGGATATTAAATTTAATGATATGTGGTGTGTCTCGAAATAGGAAAATGTTTAAATGGGGAGCGTTTAACTAGAGGTCTTTGTTCTATAAAGGTTTCTCTATTTGCTGATGCTTCGGCTTTTACTTAATTAGAGCATTTCTTGTTCCATTGTTGGCTTTAAATAGATTTTAAAATTATAATAAGAATATATACATAAATCAAACAAAACAAAGGCTGTTTTTAAACTATGGCTACGACATTTTACAGGGTAAATATTGCTTAAATCGAAAAGAAAAGGATTTTGGGATAGGGGGATCGAATAAAGGATAGAAGTTTTCCATAAACCCCAGCACTCTCTCTCTGCCCATTTTCTTATCCGGTAAGAAGACGGCGAAACTCAATCCTGATCTAAACTAACCGATCCTTGATCTTCTCCGGTCTTCCTCCTACTTCAGCTTGGCACTTGACGACTTCTGCCCGGTCATACCGTGCTGTTCCTGATCCCAGAAGTCGTACCAGGGTCCGTAGCTTTTGTTACCCGCCAGGTTCTTCGAGTTTCGCTCCAGCGTGGCACTGCTGTTGATGTGGTTGTTGCCGGAGGAGGTGGCGGAAGACTTGAGGAGTCGGGTGCGCGGCAGGATGGTGGCTGTCGGGGCACCCGAACTGGCCGTGGAGTTGCGGGTCAGGGTGCTGTCCTGGTCCTTGGCTGAGTTCTTCTTCAGCGTATTCGTCGCCGTCGTGGATGTGGAGGATCGGAAGGTGTGGAACTCCATTTGCTGGTGCTGCTGTTGCTGGTGATGATGCCGGCGCATCTTATCATCCTTGCGCACCAAGTGATCATTGATCACAATGCAGTCGTATGGATCGGAGCTTGTCGACTTCAGCTCCGCTTCGGAGTCCTCCTCGTCCTCGCTGGTATAGTACTGTTTCAATATGTCCTGGCGCTTTACCGTCTTCATCACCAATCCGTGACCATGTCCATGTCCGTTCCCCTTGCCCTCGTCAAAGAAGTTGTTCACGTCGCTTAGCTTCAGGGTTCCATGCTCGTCGCTCTCGCCCTCATCCGTGGATGGGGGGAACTGTTGGTGCTGTGGAGTTGGCTTGGAGCGGCTGAGGGTCTGGGAGTTCTGCTTGTCCAGTTTGCGATGTTGCTGCTGTTGTTGCTGCTGCTGCTGTGGCTTCTGCTGACCCTGACCACGTCGCATAGTGCTTATCCTTTCGCTGTCTGTGGGCTCTTCAATGTCAATCTCAATGGTCTTCATGATCTTCATCCGCGACTTGGGAGTATAGCTGTTCCTCTGCTGTTGTTGCTGCTGCTGGACCTGTTGCTGCTGTTGTTGCTGTGGCTGTTGCTGTGGACTCACTCCATAGATGTTATCGTCCTCATCGCCGTACAGTTCCGTGCTGGTCAGGCTGTCCTTGCGCCCTCGCTTCTCCTGCGAGGAGCTGGAATTGTGCGACTTGGTCAGCGTACCATTGCGATCCTCCTCAGATCGCCTTTCCAAGTCGTCTCTGTCGCGCATTTCCTCCATGTTCGGAGCCGCCACCAGGTCGCGGTGCTGCCAGAGCGACATGCCCGCCAAAATATCCTCGCCACTGCGTCCGCCACCAAACTTCCAGAAGGACTTGGTGCGCTTCAGTCCCGCACTGGAGGCCTGCAGGATCTCATCGTCCGAGGCAATCAAATCGTAGCGCATCTTGCCCCCTGTACTTTGCCGGCTCAGCCGATGGAGGCTCTTGTCGTCTATCTGGCTATCCACACTATTCCGGAAATTGCGGTTCAACGTCCACGAAGCTACGTCCCGGGGCACCGTATGGGTGTGTGAGTTGGTGTCCGCCCGGCGTCTATTTTATTGAAATATTGGTTGTGTGTTTGGGTGTTTGGTTGGGTGTTGGGTGTGCATTGTTGGGTGGTTAACACAAAGGATGGCAACATAGCGATACATGAAATCAAATAAGAACGAAAAAAAGCAAATGAAAAAAAAATCAATCAATCAAACAGAGAAGAAGGCAGAACAGGGCTTTTAATGAGCGCGGATGAGGACATGCTTTCCAGGATTAGTCACAAAATAGGAAGCACAGGCAAGGATGTCATCATAGAGATGTATTTTTCATTGAAAGAGATTGCAGATCTCCAAGATGACTCCGCTTTAAAATAAACACCACCTACCGAATGGGCACCCTCTGGGTAGCTGGCTCCTCGTCGGAGTAGTCCACCTCCGGCTGTGGTGGTGGCTCATTGGCGAATCCACTGTCGTTGCTGCTGTGCAACGAGGTCTTGGCTGCCACTCCGGACTTGCCAGCCGGATGGCTCTGCAGGAATAAACCCGATTAATTTGAATCCTAAAGAATCCCAATCGAACTCTCACCTGGACTCCGTTTAGAAGCTTTTGCTTGCGTCGCTCCACCGCCGATGTGACGCCTCCGTTGGTGGCACAGAAACTCTGGGAACTGTTCAGCACTCGGGACGATGACTGCTGGCCGTTGGGAACGGGTGCGGGTAGAGTTGGTGGTGGTCCTGGTCGTGGATTGGCTCCGGAGCCGGAGCGGTACTTCTTCTGCTGCTTGATTGTGTCCCCGAACATGCGGGTGGGTGAGGATTCCTCGGCACTGTGGTTGCGACGCCGCCGGTAGGTGGCCTCATGGTTCTCCATCAGCTCCAGCTGGGCCTCGTAATCCTGCTGCTGCTGGGACTGATAGCTGCGGAGACCGCCGCCCGAACCCGATCCAGATCCTCCGCCATTTCGTTCGTAGCTCATGAGCATGTTCTCGTACCGCCGTCCAACGGCAGAGGAGGTGGCCTCCACGGACTCTGCATTGGTGTAGGCCACTGGGAACCATCCAAAGTGCTGGGTGCGCAAATTCTCTCCAAACTGCCAGCCCTTGGCCTTGCCGCCCACCAGGGCGATGCGGTCTCCCTCCTCGAAGGACAATTGATTCTCTCCGGACGGCATGTAGGCATAAAGTGCCTTCACCAGTGGACGCTGGTCACCGCGCTGGTCGTCGCCCAGTGTAGCCAGCTGCTCCTCAATGATCTTGTGTTTGTTGCCACCGGAACTGGGGCCAGAGCCGACCAGAGCCAGATTGAAGTCGGACTTGGCACGCGGCAGCGAATTCTGGGCATAGTGCGACGACCCAACACAGCCCATATTTTCGCGCTCGTGGAGGGTGCGCATGTCCCCATAGGGGGCGTCGATACTACGCGACTTCTTCAACTGGGCTCCCAGGCCCTGGATCTGATCATCATCGCCATCCTTGATTCGTTCCTAAAATAGAGATTAAAAATTTTATAGATTTTCCAGCTAGATTTTTTCTCTCTGGATAGGAAATGGCATTATCCAGCTAACAAAGTAGTTAGCAGGAAAAGTTAGGAATATATAATGATGGGCGGAGGTGACTTACCAGGCGACGCATGTTAGTGCTGTTATTAGTGTTGTTGTTGTGACCGTTGCTGCTACCATAGCCGCTCTCATAAGCAGCCGGGGGAATGATCTCACGAGATGCGGCGATCTCTTGCCAATTTTCGAAATTATTATCAATTACCGTCTTGCCGGTGGTGTGGTAAGCCATCCAGTGTTTGGCGATCGAGCACTGGCGCTCCAAGACGAATCCATACCGACGTCGCTCCTGTGTCATGGCCTGTACATCCCGAAACGGAAGTGGGGGAAACACGAGAATCCAACAAGAACGAAATTGGTCATCTTCAGTGGGAATTGGTGGTCAGTCAATGAACTTACATTTTTATAGCTCTGATCACAGAACACATCCAGTTTCTTCTTTTGATCCTCCAGCACTTGCAGGCTCTGTGTGGGAAAATATGATTTTTGGGGTTTTTTTTCAGAGGTTTTGAAATAAGTAGTTGGTACACCTCACCCTCAGCTCCTTTTCGGTGTTCTCGGGTGTGGCCTTTTTCTTGCGCTGTTTCTTCATTGTGGAGACGGCTTTCTGGTAGCTCTCCATGCGAACCTTGTGCTGCTGCAGGAACTTCTTCTGCTCGTGCTGCACCACCTTTGTGTCCTTTTCCAGGTTTGTCTCCAATGGCACCAATAGATCCACGTAGAAGGCTTTTAGCTTTAAGTATGTTATCCAATTATACCCCAGGAAGTAGAATTTGGTGATGATCTACTTACAATATTCATTTGCTGTTCCTGAATTTCCTTATTAACATTCACAACGCTCATCAAAGCCGAACCTGGACAAAAGAACCCAAAAAGAATGGTTAAGATCGAAAGTGTTGGATGTGTTTATTATGTATGTTGGCCTGGCTAATAGAGTCTTACCAATATCGCCCGTTCCGCTCTGTTGGGCGTTCATCGCAATCTTGGCCAATGCTTCATTGAATAGACGCGAGGCGGTTGCAGCACCTGTTGCATGAAATGGCACGGAATGCATTGCAAATTAGTTAACTGTACTCACAGTAGTCGATTATGGATTGAAGTGGCATATGCATGTGGTACATACACTCAGCATAGTCCACTCTACTCACCGTGCAACGCCTTGAGGTAACTTTTGCCCGCCGCGATTAACTGCCTGGCACCCGGATTGAATCTATCGAGTATATTCTGCAATTGAGATCGGAGATCGATTATGTTATTAGCTGCTGGGCTATATCTCTCTGCTTATCGGGTAGATGATTAAATGTAATTTACGAGCCAGCATGCCCCAACATTTCAATTTCATTAGGCACGATCCGTGGCTGATGTTTACTATTTTTATATACACACATATTCACCCCATGGATTTATGGGGTATGGTAATGGTTTTCCCCGTTTCGCCGCCGGCAGTAAAAGTCTCTGTTGTATAAGATCTGAGACAATGTTGTGGTCGGGCCAGCGACATCATTAGTTCCGTCACGGACGGAATTAATTTTTTAATTGTTTTTTTTAATTAAATTTAACAAAACAATTGAAAATTAATAAATTGTTAATTGCTACTAATACAGTTAACAATTAAATAATTGTTACTTGAAAATTTTCACAATTACAGTTGATTAATTGTTAATTGTTGTGGTTACATTTACCAATTAATTAATTGTTAATCTTTAATTGATCTTGCAATTAAAATTTGCCCAACACTGGTTCCGTGTAACCACCTAAACATACTCGCACTCGTAATGCTAATTGCCCGGCTAGCAATCTTTCACAGACATGATTTAGTGGTGATATAAATGAAAGTTATCTGATATATCCTCCTTAAGATCTCTATATTTCAATCCAATGGAGTCTTGAACCAGTCCACTTAGCTTCAGCTGGGATTAGATCTAAATAATCTTAGAATTTTCAAACCAGTTGGTAGTCAATTAGGATTGGTATTTCATGCAGAAATAACGTTGGAAGTAATGGCCTGCAGTTTTTAACGGCCGGCAGTAAAACTTTAATTTAGTAGCAAATAAGGAAGAGGTTATATATTTTTGGGGTTTATGGCTCAACCTGTTTTTTTTAAGAACTTGTAAAAATCTTTAATAGATTCTTTTCTCAGCTAATTGAAAAATAATATTCTATTTTTATTCCAAAGTACCTAGAGGTGCCTAGACTCTAGAAGATCATCAATCAACGATCATTTCCCCACCCTAGGCTTAAAAGACCTTAACACCTTTGATGATTTATCATTCACGTAACTCTGTCAATGGCAAAGATTCTAATTAATTACGAATTACCCCCATCCACAGGCACAGTTATCTAAATCTGTAGAAATGAGTCAGAACTTATTTAATATTTGCATACAATTGAAGATGAAATTGCATTACGAAGGCACGACGTTAAGGGATAGCTGACATCATCAAAATGTTGACACCATTAAAAAATAAAACAACAAACCTTTAAAAAAGAAAACATGACAAAGACATACTCTCTGGTCCTGGGCTTGGCCTAGACTTGTGTTGTTGGCCAGACAATGCCTGGGCACTTAACACGCAATCCCCCAACATAAGCCCGAAAATTGAAATTCTTTTCGGCCACAAAGCATTTGCATTGTGTGGCCTAAGCCGAACAATGGCTTTCCAAAGCCAGGAGGAGAGCTGGCCAAGATCATGTCGGCTAAGAATAATTGATTGTTGTTCGCGTAAATAGCCGAGAAATATTTTGGCGGCCAATCACTTCCGTCAATGAAACACTCATGCCCGGCTACCGAATCTACTATTTGAGTTCCTTGGCCGGGCCAACAATTAGCAAGAAAACGTCAAAACCAAATGATAAACAACACATTCTTTGTGGAACAGTTCGCTTCGCTTGTGACACGGATTATTGCCAAATGTATTTGCTTTTCTACAAAATTTATTGGCTGCAAATGTGGCGGCGAGGCGTGGGAATGAATTGAGACAAGATACATACTTGTATCTAGTAGATACTCCGATACTCAGCCGTCAAGGTCGCAGCTGCTTAACGATTCAACTGGCTCGAGCCTCTGCTTTAAGTGTTTGCTTTTATGATCTACTAGCTGGCTGATTTAGATACCCAGGCACAGATACAGATACATATTTGAGATACTTCAGCTGCGACTGCATTTCGGTCCCGTTTCTTCAAGTGCACTCGTCCGCGCTGCTGACCTCAGTTCAGTTTATTTAATTTAGATACAGATACAGATACTTTAGTAACAGATGCAGATACTTAATAGTCGAGAGTGCCTCTCAATGGCTCAAAGCTTATGGTTATATCAATGTTAATTGTTTCGTTTTGGTGGCCAGCATAATTTGTGGTTTGTGGATAAATCTTTTGGATTATCTATAATAGCCTGAGCCATTTGGATTTACCTTCCACTGGTTGATTGAATTCACCCTTGGAGATAATTGCGAAGGAAAATTTTTAAAGATATTCACCGTGTTTATGGAAAATTCAGACTTAAATTCTCGGCTATAAAATTCCCCCACAACAACCCATGCCAGGTTCCTTTTCGCCAAAACGATCTTATCTGTCCGTGTAATTGGCCTAACTGTTTAACAAATTCCTGCTCGTTCGATACCAGCAATTAGCTGGGCCCCTCCTTAGCCCCTGTTTTCCGGCCCTCACCCACTCTTGGCCAAAAAGGCTGACGCAACCGCTTATCAAAGCCCGTAAATCTGCAGCCTACCGACAACACTTAACCCAAAATTAATTGAGGTAGTCTTTCCCAGTGTTTAGTATCCAGTACTCAGTATACCCAACCACTACCCAGATCCAAATCCCAACCCAGGTGACTGGGTCTCTAATCGTCGCTTAACATAAATCGCCACACATATATATGTAATTTTTTTTAATTAAAACAGAGACTAAATGCAAAGTATATCACGAAAGCCTCCCTCTTGGCTAAAAAAAAAGAAACTACGAGGTGGAATGCTAAAGCCACACAGGGAGAAAAGGAGAGTTTATTGTTAAGGTATTTAATATTTAATATTTCAATTTTTTAGTTTTTGTCCCCAAAAAAATAATCATTAAATATTTGTAATATTTTTTTAACTGATCCCTGATTGAATTTATTAACAAACTTGAGGTAAGGAGTTCCCTTTTGGTTTAGGCCATAATTTAAGCAACGCCAGCAAGCGACACACCCACCTGAGAGCATGCGGGAATGCAGCACCTAACCGTGGCAACAACAACAACAACAACAACAAACCAAGAAAAACAACAGCAAACCGCAATTATGCCAATTAGAAACCAACAAATGCAAAAAGCAACACGCAACAGGTTTGCCAAGCAACAAGAGCAACACTATCCAGCAGTCGTCAACTGTTGACAAAGCTTCAGCGAAGGCGTCAAGGCGCAACCAGTCACGCCTTCTTTCGGGTTGGGGGGCACGGTTGGGGGCTTAAGGAGTGGCTGACCCCCCTGCTTGAAAACCACAGCATATCCCATCCCCCCTGGGGAGCTCCATGTCCGCGACAGATGAGCGCAAAGTGCGTGAAAAATGCTAAACGCAAATAATTTTCGCTTGCGTGACTTCTTCCCAGGCAGTTAAAAAAAAAAATAAGCCTCAAATGAAATTGTCATTTTGTCTCAACGAAAGTTTGATGTCCTTGAAGATAGGCACAGGACATGTCGTGTTGTTGGGCAATACATTTTTACAAAGAATAATAAAATTTGCTAATTGTTTTGTTACAAGAAATAAAAATTCTTTCTAGAGTTTATATTCTACGTCGTGTTTTTAATCTAAAACTATTTTTGTTCCTTATACATTATTCTGAAAATAATATCTGTAAGATTTCTATAAAAAAAACCTATAAAAATTAATCAACTCATAAAATCCCCTGCTCAGTTAGGGTATATGGGAAATGGACCCAGTAGTGTCCATTGGTGGGGCTTCTCTCGGGCGAGTCGGACGTTAACCCAGTTCCATTTACCATGGTCATACCCATGCCCATACCATACCCATACCCATGCTCATATCGAGGCTCTGTCCCCCGGATAGCCCCTCCTCCACTCGACTTAGCCAAGGGGATGTGACATCGTTCCAAGCGGCGGCGGCGGCCTCTCTAATGCAACAGCAACAGCAGCCTTAGAAATGCCACAGACATGGCAATCAACTGCAGTTCCCCTCCAAGTCCACACAGTCCCAGAGTGTCTGTTCCCAGCTCCTCAAATCCCCTGATCACCCGGACTGTCTGTGGCCATTAGGTGGCTGCAATTTTAATTTATTTCCACAGCTCTTTCTTTCTTTTTTTTGTAGTTTCTATAGTTTCAGCACTTCGGACACCTTCGTCCCACATTGTGAGCCATGCTGGGTGCCCAACTCTTGAGGGGCTTCACCTCCTCATCTGCTCCTGCTGCCAACGCTAACCCCTTTGGCAGGTTGGCTTATGTGTGGTCAGCTGGACGTCATTCTGATCTGATCGGCGGCGGCAGGCGGCAAGCGGCAGGCTCTTTCAGTGGCTTCAGTTTCGATTTATGTATGTTGCAGAGAATGTGCCATAAATCTAAGCGAATGACAAACAATCCGAAGGCATTCATCGCCACTGGCAGCTGTTTGGATGAAATGCGTTTTTTAACATCGGCTTGACAGGCCAACTTTTTGCGGTTTTTATTCACTTGCATATAAAAAATGTGAATGAGTTCAGGAATTTCAAGTAGCTCCTAACAAGTCACTTTATGGTTAATAAAAAAATATATAATCTTAAAAATAGAATTAAACAAAAGTTATAGTAAGAGTTATAGTAAGAATATCCTTTAATAAAACTCGCTAATTATATCAACAAAAGTAAAAGTGAAAGCCGTATATTTTTTGCAATCATCTCTCAACAATTTTTACCCGTTTGGGGTTCGTCTTACGAGTTTATATCGTTAACAAGGCCGAAAGATTTATTGAGGCAGCGGGAGCAAAAAATTAAGCAATTATTGAAGCCTTCATAAATAACCACAAAACCGGTGAAATTACATGGAAATTTAAAATTACTTAAGACGGCAAAATAAATCATTTTTATCGCCTGGTTTGTGTTTTATTTTTAGCTCTTCCTGTATATTAACTTGTTTGATGTTAACTTGTATCGATCACTTAACTAATGGCCAATAAAATACTCCATTTCGGGTTTCGAAGAACTAAGTGTGCCAATTTTTAGAAAGGCAACATTTTGACTCTAAATAGAGATAAGCAAAATCTGCTAATGAGTTTAGAAAAGTGATATCGCATTAATTAAAACCCGTTTAAGACCTTGCCCCAAAGAATTAGATTCTCACAGTTCCAGAAACAGAAAACAAGGCAAGTCGAGTGTGCGATATGACAGATTGAATATTAAAATCAAATGTTGATATAATAAATCGATGGATAGACCAGTTCGATCCGGACAGCCGCAGACAATTGCTTATACATCAATGGGGAATTAAATCATAATCGTGTATATGTTGAGGAAGTGACTTAAGTTGATTGATGCCCGGTCATTGAGATTCCAATTCCGATTTTTTCTCTTTTTTTCCTGTCACACTCGCACAGCAAGTTCGTTTCCTGAGTCTTTCGTTTGTCAAGTGCTCGCCGAGCCACTAATTAAAATCAAGTCGCCAGCTTCCACTCATTCAACTAACATTGTCGCAAATAAACAATAATAGTGCGAAAAATTACAACAACTAGCGGGGGAAAAAAATGCTAATGGCGGTCGCGAAAATTCAGCCATGTGCAACATCCAAGGAAGAAACCCAAAAACAAAATTTCCGCAATTTCAAGCTGCAAAAAAGCACAGAAACCGCAAATAGCAGCAACGGCAAGTTTTCAAAGAAATGAAACAAAAAAAAAAAACTAAAAGTTACATAATGAAATAGATGCGCGAAATGTGCAATACCGTCGCCTCCCCACACACCTTTCAACTTGCGGCAGATGCAACCGCTGCAAAAAAAAAAGAAGCCAAAACCAAAAAACTTGCCAAACTCTCAAGGCGGAGCCGTTGGCTGTCTTCGCCGTTTTTTTCAGGAAAGAGGAGGCTTCACAAAAAGACAACAAACAAACAAATCAAACCTCCAATTGAACTCGTTTGTTAGGTGGTTTGGGGATTGGTGTGTTTGGCCAGAAAACTATGCCGAAACTAGAAAACCACCGTGTGTCGTGACCAAATTTGGCTATGAATTTACAGCAGCCCAAAGTAACAACAACAAAATATACTTTCAAATATTTTTGCCATGTTTATCTTTTATAAAAAATAATATATGGGTTTCTGGTTAAGATTAAAAAAAACACTTTGAAAAATATTAGCCTAAATCTAAAAAAAAATTAAGAAAGATGCTGAAAACTGTTATAGAGAAACCTAAAATGTAATATATTTTATAAATTGCTCTCATTTCTTAAATTTCAAGGGTATCGGTTAAAGCCAAACTTTCAAGTCATGGCTTATTGTTTTCGTTTTGTAGATTAATATTTTTTTGGGGTCTTTCGTTGGCAGCTGCCGTTTAAGGTGATCGCGTGTGGCGATAAATTTAGTTACAGAAAGAAAACATTTAAGGTTATAAATTGTTTTCCAAAAGGGTAAACATCGTTATGAACGAGGCACTGAATTAGTCGCAAGTGGCTAATAGAAATGGCCTTCATGCAATAGCAGCAGCGTTAATGTTTAGGTGTCAGAGTGGGGTTACATAAGTTTCGATTTGACCCCCAAAGCTAATTGGAGCTTGTGATTAAGTTAAACATTAAGATTCTTGTGAAAATTGTTAAGTTAAATAATGACTTTTTTTAGGCCCAAAGGGCCCATTTCTAGCTGCATTAATATTATTTTTAGACCCATCCCTACATATCTTATTAAGTCGTTCAATCAATAAAACAAATAAATTATTTCGTAATAACGGATATATGAAAGAAAACAAAAAATGACTTACCCGGTAAACGCCATCGACGAGTTTTGTAACTTCTTCGGCCTCCATCTCTGGGTTGCACTTCTTAGCCGGGCCCTCCTGCCGATGAATGAAAAGTAATGGGCTTCAAGTAGTCGAAATCTTCAGGCTACTGATGAATTTCCAATCGAATCGAGACCCCCTCCAGAAAAAATAAATTCACTTTCAACTGCAGCGCCCCAGACTGCACTCGATTTTCACTTTCTAAAGTGGCACAACCACACACAAGCACACACACACGATCCAAAAAGGCCTTAAGACGTTGAACCGGGCTCCAAAAAAAAAACTACAGACTTGTATTTGGAGTAAACTTGTAACTTTGACTTTCGTTGCAGAATCTTGGAAATCTTGTTTCTTGTGTCGTGACTTTCTTTTTGGCGGGCAGAAGACGAACCGCTGAACCGCCGAAACACCGAACCGCACCACGTAACGCGAGTCAGGTAAATGAAATGCCAACTCGATAAACGGGCCAACTCAGCCAGCGGTTTTTGTTTGTTTCTGTTTTTGACGGGTTTTTTTGGGGTCTTCGGGTCTTGTCGACTTCTTAACAACTTGTAGCTTCGGCACGTGATAGAGTCGTCTGAAAAAGAGAGAATCGGAAGTAGAATTAGTTCCTGGCAACCACTTTGTTTAATCAATATTTGTAAAAGAATTTTTCATTCAAGAAGTAGAGAAGTTAATATCTTATATTAGTCAGTGATATTTTAAAAATCTCTTAACTTTTATTAGAAAATGGACGATCTACTGAGCAAAAAGAAAACGGTGGTTCCCGTTTTGGACCTTAGCCGTAGCAATATTCAAACCATCGAGGAGTTCAAAAGGCTAATGGAAAAGGTCCCCGACTACAAAATGAGGCCCGTGAAGGTGCGCGCCGAGGAGATAAAGATACGGGAAAAGGACTATGCCTTCAAAATGCCCAAAAAGGAAATGCGCAAGCTGATGAAAGCCAACGGGGAGCGGGAGCCCATGTACGCCTATGCAGATCCTGTCCCCAGCGAGATGAAGGATGTGGTCCTCATGGAGCTCTGTGCCGTGCCCATTGACTGGAAAATGCTGACCACTTTGAGGCCCAAAAACAAGCAGGAGGAGGAGTACTTTAGCCGAATGGTGGAGATGGGCAAGTTGGAACTTAAAACGGAGGTACCAAATCTTATACGGTTTTTAATAAATTTAAAATATATAATATATTATAACATTATAACAGGCTAGAGATAGAAGAGAATTTGCTTTGAACAACTGCGTCAAGAAAATCAAAAACAAATCGGGCATAGTGGAAACTCGTCTGATGACCTGCGAGTCCTGCGGCGAAGAAATGTGTTGCGGTATTTGTACTAAAATATTTCAAAGAAATATTAATGATCTAATCTTAAATACTATTGCAGGCAAGACTTGTGGGGATTTTAATTACGATCTCTATATCCGAGTGGAGGCCAGAGTCGTTAAACCAAAACCAGCGGCCATATCCTCTAACAAGGCCAAGTTAAATGGCCGCAAAAAGTCAACCGTGGGTGGTGCCAAGATCAAGGTAAAAAAGTCCTCAAATAAAACCAGTTAAAAGAAAACAGACCTTTAAATAAACTGCTCTTCAAAAATAACAAACTTTTATAGGCTTTTTTATATTAAATTTTCCAAAAACTTTTGTGCCGCATTTTTTATTCAATTAACATATTTAGAGTCGCATAGCTTTGAAATGTATTGCTAATTAAAGAACCATCTTTATGATTTTGTATGTATGCCAGGTGTTAAATAAAGCTAAAATATACGACCAAAATAAAAAGCGTTGTTTAAATGAAATCTTTAATGAAGTCCAAGAATGTGCATTGAAGTATGTTCCCAAAACTAATTCCTATTCTTTATTGATTTTTTTTGTAAACACATTCCAACATGACATGAAACAGCTTCAGAAAATGTTGTAAAATGCTAAAATAATGATCAAAACCCAAATGCAAAATAGTAGAAATTTTGTAGGGTTTTTTTTGGTTTATTTTTGAACACCACAAGCGACACTCGAGTATCTTTGCCGGCATACAGAGCTCTCAAAATGAAATGGCTAAAATATTTAAATTGCCGCGGCAACAGAGACAACAACACGGCTGCTTTTGGCCATTAAGCCAAAGGTAACAGGGTTCTGTGCTCGGTGGTCTGGAGAGTCTTTTGAATTGGAAACCTGGTACTATATACATCGATACATAGAGAGAAAAAAGTAATAATAAAATTACATGAGATGTTGGCTATCTTTCTTACAAATTTCTCTTCAAAAATATAATCAATCATAAAAACCCTATTTTTAGATTACCATTCAAAGCAGGACAATACCAATTTAATGATCATTTCGAATGACATTTTTTCTTTCCATGTGATAAGTGGAGCGGTGGATATTACTTGGATACCGCGTTGGCGACACTGCTCCAGTGGCAGGCAGCCACTTACAGCCCACAAATCGCCGCGGGGCTTGTGCAACAATTTGTGCAAGTCTACGCTCTCGGCGAGAATTCAATGGCCCCGTCTGTCTCCAATTCTCCGAGTCTCGGAGCCCCACTTCTTTACGACAACGATGCGGTGGCGCTGCACAGCTTTTGATTACTAATGAGTCGAGTTCGCTTTTGAGCTCTGTCAGCTGCGGTCCCAGCTCTGATTTATGCGGTTTATTTATGGAAATATCTATCCGCGTAGAAATTGAAAATTTACTTTGAATATCAAATTTGTGGCCAACGCAGCCGGGGGCCATATTCCGAAGCTTTGATCGGAATCCTAATTTAATATTGATTTTCCTATAACGAAGTTGGCAATTAATTGGGAAAAGAATTCTAGTTATGTGCTAAGCTAGGCTTATATATTTTTAATCAAAAGATATCTTTCAAAGCTCTTTAAGTTAAGTAAACATAAAGTACCTTTTACGCTTTCTTTGTCGTATTTTTTTGAGGGCTTATCTCCGTTCAAGATTTCATGGTATTGTCACGTGGGTCTAGATTACAACTTCAAGCCAAATAATTATTATAATTTCAAAGTAAATCTCTCTGCTTCCACAGATCTGCTCAGTGTGTTGACTTTTACCAATGTAATTATGGAATTGAGAGTGACATACCATTCAAGCCGAATTCTGTTATTGTGAGCTACCTAGGGGGTATAGAGAGGCGGGAGAAGACTTTCCTATCCGGCGGGGTCTTTCACCCGGGAACAACAAAGACGTGTTCGAGTGATTACGTAGGTCTCAGTTACAGGTCGAAAGATTTCCAAAACGGCCGAATGAAATCGAAATCGTGCCTCAGATGAAACGCATTCAAATCTTACGAAATGCTCGGTGTCGCATCCCAATATTTATGCAGATGCAAGATAAACACATTCCAGATAAGCTGCCAAAGTGAGAGTGGCGAGATGAAAGTTAGGCCTTATAAACATTTTTTTAAGACATTCGTCTACGTGATGTCTGCTCCGGCTACGCCCCATTGCCTCGATTAGAATCGAAAGACTTAGGCAACAAACTGGACGGCTGCTGGCAGCATTCTTGTCATGCCGCTTGCCAGTTGCAAGGTTAGCATCGTCACTGCTGCGGTCAGCGAGGGAACTCGATATTGCAGTGGACGCTGGCGTTTTAATTATGCATCTGCCATGAAAATGTATGCAAAACTGCGCTTGTCTATTAAGAACAAGGCCAGCATCCCCCGGCCGGCCGGCCAGGTTAACCCAATGCAAGGCCTCCATTCAGTCTCTGGTGTATGATTATTGTTCTGTAATTAACTTTTTCAATTGGCTATTTATAGAGCTATGAAAGCAGACATCTTTATGGCCACCTTTGATCCTCACACCCCAGGACATCCACCCTATGTGGGAATCGGCGGAGAGAAAACTTTCCCCGAATCGAAGATGGCTGATGAACAGTCAACGACCATTTGTCTGACAGTCAAAATACATGCGAATAATCGGCCAAACAACTTTAAGCAGCATGTCCAACATCAGTTAAAATGTTGTAGGGAAGCGTGATGGCTGTAGAGAGGGAGAAGCAGACGAGTCACAGTTGCTATTATCAAATGCTCATCACTAACATTTGCTGCCTGCTGTGGCTGCTGCAATCTCGCCATGACGATCAAATTGCAGCACATGTGAATGCACGTGTGTCGAGGTGGTTGGCAAAAAGGGGCGGTCGGGTGGGCGGGGCAGCAGGCAGACACTGGCGGAGACTGGCAGAGAAGATGTTGCCGTTGGTGTTGTGAAAATGAAATTAAACTAAAGGCCGAAGACAATGCAGCAAAAAAAAAGCAAAAACCACTCGACACACACTATTATCTGTGCGCTAAATTGCAGCCAGATACATTTGCAAATGAGTCTTAGAGATACAAAAGCACACAATAACATTGTTCACTCATTCCTCAAAGATCTCTGCCTCTAGCCCCCAGCCCCCATGCCTCTGTCCATGCAAATTGAGAGACGCGGCCTGTTCGTTCAGGCAAATTGGCAGTGAAAGTAAAAGTTTAAGTTATTTTTTGTTTCTACTCTATGGGCTGTCGAACCGAGCCAAAACCGAACCAAACGCACCAGAAAAGCTGACGACTGACAGACAGCTCCTCTGACACTTGCCTGCCATAAAGAGATATAGTCCATGGCGTTGTCTGATCCAGTTTGCCCCGAACTTAACCGATTCGTGGCGCCTCCACGGACCCCCACTGGTTGAAACACCAAAAACAATTTGCATTTTGCAATTAACTTTTAACCGGAAAATACCTCAACACTCAGGAATTTTTCGCCTAATGAAGAAAGCTGATTATGGACAGAAAGATTAATATTCGATTTTTGAAAAGGTTAAGAGTTTTGGTTTCTAAAGATTTAAGATCTGTCTTGGGAGGCATTTTCAATTTAATCGTATTACCAGAAAATTCAAGTTTCCTGCTCCATTAACCCACTAAGAAAGATTTCTTTTCATCTCAAAGTGGCTCACCCCCGCTCGTGTATCTGTATCTGAAAAGTCGCCACTTTATTTAGAGTTACTCCTCACGTAGTGGCCTCACCCATTTATTGCGATTCTGGCTTCATAAATTAAGTGAAGATGGCATCTCAAAGTGCCGACTCCAGTTTTCTTTTCTCTTCGCCAAGTAAACGAGTCTCCTATATTCTAAACTTAGTTACCAGCTTGTTTCTTTTTTTTAAGAAATATCGTTCAACGACTAAATTGGAGATACTACACCTGACTGATTAAGAGGCACTTGTCTTGGGATATTCCTTGGTTCCGTTTCAGTTCAGTTCGGAAGCTAAAACCGAAACTCATTTGTCCGCCCACACAACAAAATAGAGATGCTTGTAGATACAAAATTGGATTGGTGGCAGGAATACCGAATACCTGAAAAAAATATTGAAAAAAAAAAACAACTAACTGACGGACTGCGTCAGCTGCAAGGAATGCGACCTTGAGCTGTCGTCGGCTATACGGCTATATAGCAGTTATATGTAGACGCTTGTTCAGATGTCGTGACTGCCCAGGCCCAGAAAAACAACAACAACATCGTACAGACACAAGACCATAAATACGGGCGGACTTGGATGCCACAAAGAAGTAGTAGAAGTTGAAAAAAAGGGGGGCTCAAGCCGAGAGGGGGCAGATCAGCAGAACCCACTTGAGATGAAAAGACAAGACGCAGAAAATAGCGCAAGTATTCTCATACAATAATAATAATAAAACACGTTTGACGAACGGTTTGATGGCAAAGATGAAGATTGAATATCTGTCAGATACGTAGATGGCAAAGTACAGCAAAAGTGGAAGCAAAAAAAAAAAAAGAAACTGCTCAGGCGCTCACTTTTATTTTCAGCATTGCAACCGCACTAACCGCAACAGCTTCGTAAATGCCATATAACAAGCCAAAATAACAAAGATCAAACCCCGGCTGAATGAGAACAAAGCCTCGGCAGTAACGAGAAAAATATCTTGGCCAAGAAATTGATGTATTAAAGTATCTGGTAGTAGCATTTACCAAGCCCCAAAGTATTTGTACGCTCATTACTTGAATAAATACAAAAATAAATCGCAAAATTCGGAGACTGATTCTATAGTATAGTATATTTTAAGTCGAAGTAATCCAAAATAAATATTTATTCGACTGACTAATGAATGCCAAATGAGACGAATGCTGCACAAATAAATATTTTTTTATTTATTCCTATGGTGTCTGACCATATTTAATTCAAAATGATTTATTGGCTAAAATAATAAATTCTAATTAATTCCGATTTAAGATATACAGAGTTCAGAAGAGTCAAGGCTTTGGTGACTTTATTGTATATATTTTTTTCAAAAAACATCCACACCTTTCACTCAAAACTTTCCCACTACCAGACTGATTCTCTTCCAGATTCTTTCTGTTAATCGACTTCAGAAAGGTGGCACAGTTATAAACCCTAAACCATGAAATCATATTAAAACCCAAAGTCAACGAACTTCTGGCTGCGCTCAGAGTTTTTATTTATGCAGTCGGAGGTCCAATTAGTTATAAGACCAAAAAAACCAAAAGATATGTACGATTGACCGAAAACCAACCTTTTTTTCGCAATTTGAAATATCTGTGT